ATTCGCCCGGCACGCGGCAGCCCCCGTTCTGGCAGCTGCAGATGGGCCGACACACGGTCACGCCCATCAGCCGGGTGGGCGTGTAGCCGGTGCAGCAGACCTCAATCGAGGTCAGTTTGTTGGCCACGTCCGTCTGAATGAGACTGGCCAGTGGATATTTGGAGACAGCTTCAGAGCTACAAAGAGGGGGAACAATTAAATGAGGGACAGTGAATAATCATTAAAACGAACAGCGTCATTTATAAAACTGCTTGATTCTTGTTATTAATAATATATGGGATGGATGTTTTTTTTTTAATAGACACTAAAATATGATTAAGCTGTATTATGAAGCAAATCTGTTTTTGGTTTTATTTTTATTATTTTTTAACTTTATTTTACAACATATACACGAACTATATTTTTTAGATCAATTACTCAAATACCTTAAAATATTTATATATCATAAAAGCCCTATACTGAAAAGCCCTATATATGTTATAAATATAATTTAATATAAATCAAACAAATTTTATTAGAAATATTATCTACAGCAGTTGCTCTACTCTACTCCCTGATATTCCCTACTCAATTAATATTCAACGCTCTACAATGCTTTCGGTTCGCTTAAGCTGAGCGTTCACTGTACTCACGGCACCCATATGCGACACTTGTGTTGGTCACGACTCGAGACGCCCTCGTGAGCGCGCAACAGATATTCACGCCTACGCGGCTGCTGTTGCTGGGCTGGCGTCTCGGCAAGGTCAAAGTTGATGCCGCCGCCCGGGCGGGGATAGAGCGTCTGTGCAGCCGCCGCCTGTTGCTGCAGCTGCTGCTGCCTGTTGCTGTAGCGTCCGCCCCCTCCGCGCCTCGTGTCGTAGCGCGTGGGCGCATCGTATTCCGAATAGCTGGGCACGTTTGCCCCAATCCGAGCCAGACCCACGCCGAGCAGCACTATCAGAGCCTGCTGGGCATGCCTGAGTGTATGCATTGTAAGCCCCACTTATATATGTATATATTTTGTTTTGGTTTTCGCTGTTTGCAATCCACTTGCTAAATTCAAACTAAGTTCTCAAGTTTCGCTCGCGTGCTACTGCCCCAATAAATAACTGCGGACGGCTTATCAGTGGTGTTTGCTTTTGTTTTTGTTTTATTTAGATTTTTCGGACATGTTCTCAATATTATTTCAAATCTTGCTCTCTGCTCATATTGTGAAATTAGTATTCCGAAAATGCTCTACATTTGTATATGTCTATCCATTCAATTTCTATATTGATCGATTAAGAATTTCCTAAATATTATTATTAAACTCTAATTTTTTTGTTTCTTTCTTTCATCGTAAAACTATAATCTTAAAATTTTAGTTTGTTTTTAAATTATTTTCATCATAAGTTTAAATGGGTATCAAATGATCAAATTATTGTTTTAATAACTTCTTTACTTTTTACTTTTTAATTACTACTTTAATTACTTCTGATAAATATTTTGCTGAGCTCTGATATCACTTTCAGTTTTAAGCCTAATGAAAACGTAGATTGTTAAACTCTGAGGTAAATGAAGAAAATATTGAAGAAATATCAAAGTAAATACTAAAAAATTGTTAGTATTTTATTGGTTTATTTATTTATTTTATATATATTTTGTTGTATTATTATTTCTATTTCTTACAATTAATAATAAGTGAATTCAAATACTATAGATGATTTCAAATTATGTATTAATATGATTGAATATATTTAAATTTTTTTTTTTTTTTTTTTTTTTTTTAATTCCATAATTTTCAAAATGTTATATTACTCATACGCAACGTAGCAGGAGGAATATATTTTAAAATATATATTACTAGTTTTCTCTTTTCCTCTCCTTACCACTAACGCCATCCTTTTCTGTTTCACTCTATCTCCCCATTTCGCTTTTTTCTCGCACTGTCTCACTCCGTCTTTATTACTATATATGTCTTCTCCTCTGCCTCTCTCTCTATCTCTCTCGCTCTCTCTTACTCTCCTGTGGTCTTTCTCTAGTTAAATATGTTGTTGTTTACGTCTTGCTGAAGTACTCTTAATTTAAGCACTGCATAGTCTCTTGCTAATATTTTTAATTGAAAGCTCGTTGGCTTATCGCCGCTTCCCTCGCAGCTGAGATTAAACGCTGACCCGTTTCTCCAATTGCTGCTGCTGCTGTTGCCGCTGTTGCGACTGTTGCTGCTGCTGCTGCCACACAGTAAACAATTGAGACTTGAACGCAGCTGTGTCGCCAGAGCAGGGCACTACTTGGCATCGCAAACAGGAAACAAGGAAATCGGGAAATGCCTTCGACCAGGCTGCTGCGCACTGTCGCCCTGCAGGCATGCCTGCTGTTGATCTACATTTGCCTGCTGCAGGCGATCGAGCTGCAGCTGCACGAGCAACAGTTGCAGCAACAACTGCTAGATGAGCAGCTGCGCTTGCACCAGCAGCAACAGTTGCTGAAGCAACAGCGCGAACAGCAGCTACAGCAGCGCCGCTACTCGTCGACCACATCGACGCGCAAACCCTATATCATACCGCAGGGCCTGTCTCTGCCCCAACGAGGCGTTTATCCAGAAAAATGCCTCCGGGAAGTGCCGTAAGTACAGCCAGAGATTAAAGTCGACAAAACAACATTATATTGTGAAATTGTTGTAAGCTATGCTACACATTTAATTATAATTTAGGTTTGAATAGAAAATACATTTGATGTATAGAATTTTATGTTTTAGATAGAATAAGAAGGAAGTAGAAGAATTATAGAAAAATCAATATTTGCATTTCTGAATTGCACACCAAAGGGGTTTCTATCTCTAAAGGACAATTTAATGTTATTCGACTGTTAAACCTTATGAGCGTAACTTCAAGGGTAGATAGACTTGTAGTTTATTTTGACAAAGAAAAATGTGTTGTACATGCTTTTATTGTTCCGTTTTCTTTGAAGATTCATAAAATTTCAGTCTCATGAATATGAATATATCAAAAAATATCTATGCAAATCTATGTATATTTAAATATAGTAAAAAGATGTCTACATTATATTTTTCTATTTATTCTAGAGCTGTTTTCTTTCAGTACGACAAAGAGCTGAAGATCGTGGGCAATAGCTCGACCAATCCGTACTTCAATGTCATCGAGGTCTGCTGCAAGGGCTGGCGGCGATACGAGTACGATTGGTCCAGATGTGTGCCGGATTGTGGGGAGCGCTGCAGGGAGAATGGCTTCTGTTTGCCCGGTGGCCGGTGCCAGTGCTTCTCGGACTTCGTGCTCAACTATCGCAATGAGTGTGTGCCCACCTGTCCGCTGGGCTGCCCGCATGGCCAGTGCTACTTGAATGGCACCTGTCGCTGCGAGCGAGGCTACGAGCTGGATGGCTCGAAGCGCTTCTGCCAGCCGCAGTGTAACACCACCTGCGGCCACAACGAGATCTGCCTGGAGCCGGGCAAATGCGTCTGCGCCGAGGGCTATGCGCGAGGCCTCAGGGAGTCGAATGCCCTGGGCTGCCAGCCCATGTGCATTCCCGACTGTGGCTATGGCCACTGCGTGGCACCCAATCAATGCGAATGCTTTCCGGGCTATCATAAGCGCATGAATCGCAGCTCCTGCGAAATCAATTGCTATATGTGAGTATTGAATTGAGATAATCGTATTTAAATGAGAACTAAAATAGATGAGATTGGTAATAAGATCAAAAATATATTCTACTATATCACCTCATCATATGCAAATACAGTCGACTCTTAAAATATTTCGAGTTGTCGAGTGTTTAACCATATGAGTACGAATTACCGCGTCATAGCAATGATTTTTAGTTCGAATTACTGAGTGATAACTTTCAATTAATAAGAGGTTCGAAATAACGCAGGTTTGAAATAACAAGAGTCGACTGTACCTTTCTCTATATAGTGTACATGTACCAAACACTAATTTATTCATAAATTATACTACAGGTTATTACCTGATAATAATATGATATTTCATATTATTATAGTTGGTCTTCAATACAAAAGAGTCTATATAATATATATGTATATATATATATAAGTATATATAATATATATAATGCATAATTATTTATATATAATAATTCGATAATAGTTTTACTTAAACCTTCTCTAGTTCACTCAAATCTAACGCTCCCTTTCTCTCTTTATCTCTCACACACCCTTTAGGCGCTGCGAGAACGGCTTCTGTGCGAACCAAACGACCTGCGTGTGCCAGAATGGATACCGTTACGATCACAATACGACCAGCTGTTTGCCGGACTGTGGGGACGACTGCCGTAACGGGGTCTGTGTCTCGCCGGGCAACTGTCGCTGCTTCAATGGCTATGTGCGCAATCGCGAGCGATGCGATGCCGTGTGTGATCGTGGCTGCGGCTTCTACGGCCGTTGCATTGCGCCAAATGTTTGCGGCTGTGCGATTGTTGCGGGCCCCGAGGAGAGCTATCAACGGTGCGAGAACGGGTATTGCAATGCGGAAGGTCATTGCCGTTGTCTGGAGGGGAAGACGCGGTTCATAGACAAATGCATGTCGCCGGATACGGTGACCACCTACGCCTCCATCAATCCGCTGCGAGTGAATGCGTCGCTGATGCACGAGTTCCAGCTGCTGCTGGGCAGACACTTTATACTGGGCTCCCCCGACATGCTACAGACCAACAGATGGTGGGACTAGTTACATATATATAAATATATATGCATACATATGCTGAATAATACATATTATCTCAAAAACAAATATATTTTATTTTACATACATATGTATGTATGTATGTCTGTTTAATGCGACGTCAAGCACAAAGAAATGCGCTATGAGCGTGCTTATCAGTAGGGCAGAGGCGTGGCTGTAGAGGGGCTCAAGTACATGTAAGCCTTCTTCCTTCTCCACATGTTTTCCTACGCCACTGCGCAAGTTCATCTACTTTAAGTACTCACTCACACATGCAGAATGAGCCGTTCTTAAGCGATCTATAAAAACAGCTCTCAAACCGAGCGCAGATCAGTTGCGCGCCTACCTTTAAGCCCATCGTAACCGTACAGAGAGCGCGCGAGTGAGAGAGACAGAGAGGGAGAGGAACATGCGCTCGAATAGCCTGATTATTGGTCTGCTGACTATCTGTCTGGCTTACGCACAGGCCCAATTTTGGAAACAATCGACGAACGATTATCAGAGCTGGGAGCGTGAGACGATAGCGAATCGTGAACCGGGCATCTGCTACAAAACAGTATAGTACTTACAAACAAACAAATTAGTCTATCAAAAAGATCTTAATATCATATCTTAATAACATATTTTGCAGTGTCCAAACTCTGAATCCTGAACTCAGACAACGTCAGATTTCACATTGCTGTAAGGGCTATGCAATACGTAAGACTTCCAACTCTGGTACTCTGCTCTGTGAGCCGATCTGCAATCCGGAATGCATTAACGGTGTGTGCGTCTCGCCTGGAAATTGTGAGTGCGGGCCTGGATACTCATATCACTCGGAGAGTCAGCGACCATGTCGCAAATATGGGGAATAGAACTGAATAAATACTAGGAAAATAATACAAAATAATATATTTGAATTGAATTACCTTCGGCTATCGCAAATCATAATCTTAATTTAAGACTACTGTGTCCAATCAGAAGAATTAATAGGTTTTACTTAAAAATTGTAGGGAAATAAAGGGAGGATCGATAGCTGCTTTATCCGACAGGCTGCCATTACTACTACACGAAAGAGTGAAAGAGCTTATTCAAATATCTAACCACTTCACTCATCATAGCGGCACTCATCCGGGCATTAAAGGGAGGACCGATAGCTCTTTTATCCGACAGGCTGCAATTACATACTACAACACGAGAGTTGGAGTGAGAGAGCTTATTCCGATATCCCATCGTTGCACTCACCCCAACGGCGCTTGTCCGTTTGGCTTATAGGCAGCTGAGAGCGTTTCGATGAGATGAGAGTGGTGAGTGTGGGAACTATTTGAAATGTGCATGCATTAGTGCAGCTAATGTGTGGATGAACATACGATGATTTAGTCTGTGTGCGTCACTAATCAGTTGCAGATCTGACAAGTGTGAATTATACTTGTGAGCTTACAGAAATGCATTATTATTAACTTGTGAAAATATATTCATGTCAGGGAAATGTGAGTTGCTTAACTATAACTCAAAAATACATAAATATTTAAAAGAAAATATGTATAAGTAATAAAAAATATGCTGCAGTTAGTCAAATTATTAATAATTTTGTTTTTGAAAAAAAAAAAAAAAACACATACACACACACAATTTTTAATGTAAAATAATGCTAATTGCAATTTACACGCAAACACACAGCTCGATATTAAAATATATGTGAGGTTTATTTTAATATGGGTATGCATGCAGGTGTGATTAGATCATTGCCTTTACAGTTTGAGCGTTACTGCTTTTGGGATAACAGTCTTATGAACACTTTAATCATATTATAAGCAAATCATAATACGCACACAGCGCAGTCGGTGGCACTCACTCAATTCTGCTTATTGATTATCTCATTTGCTGAGATCAGTCAATAATTTCCGAGAATTACCTACAAAATATGTATACTCAAAAATAAATCAAATACAAATAAAATAAACCAACAAAAACAATAACGGGCTGCCAGATGTGAGAGTCGCCGTCGAGGTTATTGATAGACGCATTGCTGATTAAAAGGGAAGTCGGAGGGGATCCAATTTTGCCGGCTGGAGGCGATTTGCGAACCATTAGAAACTGAATTTGAAAAACTTTTTACTCAGCGATTAGTTAAAGTGCAGCAGTCGTAGAGAACGGACGCGTGTGTGCAGTTAGTTCCTCCAGCTACATCGACTACAGTTTGATAATCAGTGTGTGACGTCATCGATCATGAGCTCATCTTTGCAGTTGTTCAGTCTCGCTGCTGCGCTGCTGCTGCTGTGTCTTTGCGGTGGCGCCGATGCCCAGTTTAAGACGGCGGGCATCAAAACCCGTCAGCCTGTACAGGTTGCCGGCAATCTACAGCTATACGGCAATGCCAGCAGCGAGTACAACCAAACCCAGTACCAGACCCAGACCCAGACTCAGTATAGCACCTATGGCAACTATGCCAATTTCGTGCCTGCCGAAACATATCAAGGAGCATCGGGACATTATGTTCAATCGCTCAATCAGGTGCATCGTCCGCCCCAGATCCTGGACGAGACGGCGCTGTTCATCAACAAGACCCGCTCGGCTATGGCTAGCGGCATTTGCTATAAGGAAGTGCCGTAAGTCTATATAAGGGGCAGGGTAGGGATAGTCAAATTGACCAAGTGACCTCAAATATTTACAGTATTATAGTATTGCAGATATAGTTAACGTAGAATAATATGAATATTTTATTTGGACAGGGAGGGGTATTTAGAGAAGCAAAGTGATGCGAAAAACTATTTCCATGAAACTATTTTTGATTCTAGAAACGATGAGCTGCCAGAAATTCATAATTACTATAATTAATATATATTTACTAGTTTCAGTAGTAAAATAATAAAAAACTTCAACCTTAACGTAAAACAAACAAAAATATAGACAGAAGCAAAAATTCATATATAAATATAAATATTAATAATTAATAAATAAATATTAACAATTATTATATGTATAATGTACAATAAATTGTAATAATTATTTATATAATAATAATTAATATCGGAATATTCCTTTGTCTATGATAGTCCCCTTGATTGAAATCTATGATGTTATCTCCACGTAAATTCCCCTTGCATAAGCTCAAATTATTATCGCGCAGTTTAGAGTAATTGAAAACAGGGCAGCTACACATTGAACTAACAACCTCGACATCCTCTTGACTTGCCTGATAATGAAATGTGATTTCATATTCAATTTGATATACATACTTATAGAATTTGTATACTTAGTTAGCTGACATATATTTGTTTTTGTGATATTGAAAGAAAAACAAGCGCTTAGACCTTGAGAAGTGAGGAAAACGAATAGAAATTTATTTTATATAAATATACTTATAAATAAATATATATTTATTACTCATAAATCTCTTCCCTCCGTGAAGAATAATATATTATCGTGCATTTAATTTTTGATCTTCACAAAATATTTAATCTTTTATATCTTTATATATAACTTTTCCTTTTCAGCACCGCATCTTTGTTGCATGGCTCGCGGGAAAAGTATGTTGGCAATGGCACCTCCCCAGATCTGAGTCAAATTCAGGTTTGCTGCGAGGGCTACGAGCGCAATCCCCATGTCTATAAACGATGCGATCCCATCTGCGTGGACGACTGCCCCAATGGCATTTGCACAGCTCCCAATACTTGCGTTTGCATGCCCGGACATGTGAGAACGGACGAAGGCAAATGCATCTCCACCTGCCCGCTGGGCTGCGGCAATGGTGTGTGCGATGAACAGAACGAATGCCGTTGCCGCGAGGGCTACAAACTGGATCCCGTTAGCCGCAAGTACTGCCAGCCAGAGTGCAATCCAGGCTGCGGCAACGGCCGCTGTGTGGCGCCCAACAAATGTGACTGTCTCCAAGGCTATCGCCGTGCAGCCGATGGCAGCTGTACTCCTGTCTGTGATCACTGCGAGAACGGGCAGTGTATCAAGCCAGGACAGTGTAGCTGCAATGAGGGCTACGGGAAAGTGGAGGGACGTTGCGAACCTGTCTGCGACCAGTACGTATTAATGCATTTTATTTATCAGAGTCAGAGTCTGAGTCAGTCAGAGTCAGTCACAGTCACACACTATCAATTACCAATATTGACAATATCTTCTATCCTTATTCCTCTTCCACTCAAACAGACCCTGTAAGAATGGCCGTTGCATTGCGCCCAACACTTGCGAATGTGCCCCGGGATACGATTGGGAGCGTAAGAGTGGACAGTGTGTGCCGCACTGCGATTTGCCCTGTTTGAATGGCGTCTGCATCGGGCAGAATAAATGCGAATGTAAATTGGGCTATGTCGTGGATGAGCGTCGGCCGAATCTCTGCCAGCCGCATTGTCCTCAGGGCTGTCCCAATGGCTACTGCAGCGCGCCCAACTTCTGCATCTGCAAGCCGGGCTTCATCAAGAGCGGCATCAAGGGACGCCAGAGCTGTCAGCCCGTCTAAATAATTGGATTTGTCATCGTGAATTTATTTGCATTTTTTTTCATTTTTGATTTGTTATTTAAGAGCTACGACCAATTAAAGAGACGGCCGATTAACGCATTAAACTCGTATTTCATGTCCTCATTGAGTTCTGCACGCTGCTGCCAGCTGCTCAGCTTTCGTTCAATATGTTGTGGCTCCAGGCATTGGCCGACGTAGTGCGTCTGTCCAGCTGGACACTCGCAGTGGCCATTGGCATCGCAGCTGCCATTCAGGCAGTGCTGTTCGTTTGGAACACAGCCGCAGACATTGGGCGACAGACATTTGCCATAGTCACCACAGGAGCTGCAAGAGATCAAATTATTTTTAATATTACTCAAAAACTTATAATATTTAATGATGAGCAAACACTTTTCTCTTTTCCAAATATTTATATTTTCCAAATTGTTAAAATAAAGCAAATAAGACAAATTAAATATTACATCGATTTAATAATTTTGGAAACAGATATCTTTAGCAGTATTTAGAGTAGTGCACTTTGCTGGAATATTTTTGTTCAATTTAATTTAATTTTAAGAGTAATTCTAAAACTAAAGCATTAGTCTTAAAATGAAATCATTGAATTTTAAGTGATTATTTCATTTGATTCGAAGCAAAAAATTTTAAGCTTTAAGCCTTACGCCCTATAAAGATAAATATATTATGAGGTGATATTAATTTTTATATTATTTGTATATTTTTTTAATTTATCTTGATTTGACATAAAAGAACATAAAGAATATTTTTAAAATTTTCTAAATTAAGTTTCTGTTAGAAACCAAAATATTTATAATTTTAATGAACAATTTTAAAATAAAATATCTTTCGGAAAATCTGTATACGTTTAACATGAATATTTAGATACAGAAATGAAAACTGTGCTTCTTTAGATTTTATCATAGCTGTGGCTAGTTACAAAACAGTTGACTAGGGGAGATATATTTAGAGTGAGTTGTTATGATTAGAATTCAATATTTGTTTTGTATTTGCCATCTTAGACCTACCTCTCGCACTTGGGCTCACAGCTGTTGCCGCGCAGCTCGTAGCCCTCGAAGCAGCGACAGATGCCAGGCGCAATGCACACTCCATTGCCACGCCCACAGTCGTCCGGGCAAACCGGCAGGCAGCTGGTCGTGTTCACATCATATTGATATCCCGTACGACAGTTGCATTTGAAGCGCGACTCACAGAAGCCATTCTCGCAATGTCTGCGAATGAAAGAATCGAAAGGGAATTGGAGCAGGTAAGCTTTTGTGATCTGCTAATACATACAGATAGCATTCAGCCTCGCAGACGTTGCGCTGTCGCCGCTTGATGAAGCCCGGAATGCATTCGCATTGATTGGGCGCCACGCATTTCCCGTAGCCACAGTCCGGCGCACAGATGGGCTGGCAGCCCAGCTCGGGGCTATGTCGATAGCCCGGCAAGCACTCGCATTTATCGGGCGCCACGCACTGCTCATGCGTGCCACAGCCCTTGGGGCAGCGGGCACGGCAAAAGAGTCGAGTCTCCGGATCCAGAATATAGCCCGGTTGGCAAACACAGGTGCCATTCAGATAGCAGAGTCCGTGCTGGCAGGCGATCGGACAGGTGTGTATGCAAGCACCTTGCTCGTTGCGCACAAATTCCGGGAAGCACTCGCACTGGCCCGTGACGCGGCAGAAGCCGTTCCGGCAGTTGTCCGGCGTATTGAGCCCACAATCCGGCACACATTGCCCGCTATACGGATCTGTTCGATAACCAGCGCAGCACTGTTCGACTCGCTGGAAATAGATGCTGGAGCCATTGCCACGCACCGGCTGATCCTTGTGAGTCTGAAAGAAGACGGCACTACGACAATATTATTGGCCTTTATTGCTTTTGCTCCCCCCAATCTGGCAGCACTGGTTGACCTACTTACGGCAGTTCGCGCTGACACAGATTCGTGTGCGTTAGACTTAGTGACTCAAATTCGAGTGCTGTACGTATATCGCCATACAGCTCCGATCCCACTGCCAAGCCCAGCAGCATCAGCATCAGCTGAGGCAGCAGTTCAGTCCAGTTCCATTTCCATTTGCAGTGCATTTCTCGCGTTGTTTACTTCAACAGCTTCTTGAAGCGAATGAGCGCAGTGATTCAGATTCAGCGCCTTATCAGCTAGAGTAGAAAAATAGAAAAAGAGTGTGCAAGACAGAAACCGAGCGAGAGAGAGAGAGAGAGAGAGAGAGAGAGAGAGAGAGAGAGAGAGAGAGAGAGAGAGAGAGAAAGAGACTTTTACTGAGGCTGTCAAGGGAGGGAGCTAGCCCACCCTGCGATAACTACAAATAAACTAAGACGTAAACCAGAGCTGATCCTAAGTTTCTGCTGGAAACTTATCAATATTAATAATCGACTGTAAGCTGTGCAAAATAAGATCTTTGCCCGATGAGCAGAATAATTAGAATGTAATAAATAATTCAAATAAAATGTATAATTGTAATTACCTGAATAAAAAAATAAAATTACAATTTTCCTTTCTAATCAAATCTCTTTTTGAAACATTTGTCGCAGATTTATACGCCGTAGATAACATACAAAATTTGCATTACGATTCTCCTAAAGTATTCATAAAATAAAAACATTTTGGCTCAAGCTGATTAGGGGTATTTCAAGTTTATTATATAATATAGTCGGGTAGTCCCATCATATTAATATTATTAAGTGCACCCATATTAAGTGCATATACGTACGTTATGTACGTATAAATTATAAAATTAATTACGTTTTTAGAACCCAGATCTGATTCGATAGGCAACCCTGCGGTTCTCTATTTGCTGATAAATCGGTCCACCACACATATGAATCAACCAAAAAAATAGTCGATATGGTCAGCCGTTCTGCATATAAAAACAAAGCGCTGATCGGTTCTTACTTAGTTCCCCAATTTGAGTTGTGAGCCAATAGTAATTATAATCAAAAAAATAAATAAATAAAAAATAATATGAAGTATTTGATGGTTCTGGTTTTGAGCATTGCCTATGTTAAAGCAGAACAAGCGATCGAAACAAACACCAAAAGTGAATGCGTTCCGGAATGTGGACCAAATCAAAAGTGTTACGACAGCCAATGCATTTCTGACGATGGCTTTGGCAATTTCAACTGTACGAAGCCAGCGGGGGACGAGGTGACGAAGGCGAAGTACCCAAATGTCTGCGGTTCGAATGCCGAATGTGTGAATGGTCAATGCGTTTGTAGGAAAGGCTACTACATTAAATTCATAGACAGCACCGACTGCATTCCGAGTGTTTGCCCAAACGATTGTGGGGAAAATTATATATGCTTTAACAGTGAATGTAAGTGCATTGAGGAGTTTGCTGATTATCCTAACTGCATGAAGCCTGATCCCACCATCGAGAGCACCACTACTGCCAACAGCACTACCATTACAAATAGCACCTCTACAACAGAGAGCAACACCACTACCAATAGCACTACCAATAGCACTACCATTTCAATAGCCCTACACACAAATAGAGCCTCCACAACCGAGAGCACCACCACTACTAATTTCACCACCACCACCACAACACCCAAACCTACATTAAAACCAACACCTAAACCAGGGAGGGCTGGCCTCAGTGCTTGGGTTCTCGTGGCAATTATTTCGCTGTTAGGTGCTGTTTTGATTTTCGGCGGCTTCGTGCTGTACAGATATAAATATCGAGGTAGTTACTACATCACACCCACACAAAGAGTATACAAATATTAATTTTTAGAATTGTAATATAAATAAGTTTAAATGTTGCAGAATAAGGTGCAGAATAACTTGCTATTTTCTGTTACTCTTGCTTGTGAACAATAATATAAATAATATGAATAGTAAAATATTCGCTACACACTGAGTCATGCAAAATAAGTCGCGGTATATGAAATTTAAAATGAAATTTTAAAACTAAGCGGAATCAAACGTTTGATCTTCTCTTAGAGGAACTCTGTGTATCATGATTAGGCCGCTGTTGAACTATTGGTAATATCTGAGAATCCGGGACTCCAAGCTCCAGAGTAGAGAAATTCTCTCTCACCAATTTCATAACCTCGGCAATCACATAAAATATGAAAAATATTTTATATTTATTACTATTTTATTGATGTATTTTTATTGTAAATTATATATAAGACATAAAAATTGTTTACAAATATATTTTCATACTTATTTCCTTAGTTTTTTTTTATTCTTATGTAAAATTGAAATTCTGCCTGTCGAAATTCACAAATGGGCAATTTTATGGGCTCCGATCTGGCTGGGCACCTGCAGGAAGTTGGCATTTTGTGGCGGAATGATCAAGTGGGAGACATGTGAGCCACCGTTGGTGGTGCTGGATGTCTGCTGGTGGTGCAGCTGTCCATTGCTGGGGCGCAGTGGCGGCGGCGGTGCCAAAAATGCAGTTGCAGTGGTTGAATGCTGATAACGTGACGGCTGCGAGGCATGGGATTGTGGTTGGTGTGATGGGTGTGAATGTTGTTGATGCAGCTGATGGTGGTGCTGGTGATGATGGTGCTGCTGCTGCTGCTGTTGATGGTATCTAATCTCATCGTACAGATGCGAGTCGAGGCTGCCTTTGCGTGACTTGGGCGAAACGACCGAATAAAGCGACTCCTTGCGCGCATAGGCATAGGGCTGAGTTGTAATCGAGGAGTTATTGCTGGGCGTATCATATATATCAGGCAAAGATGCTGCAAAGGAACGTTCGATTAGAATGTTTGCTTAGCCGTGTGGCTAATGCGATAAATAGCTTGAGAGATGAATGAATGAATACATATTGCATATTACATATTAAATTGACTTATTAAACTTAAAATACAATGACGAATCTCTCCAAGTGCGCGGCATTTTATAGATTTTCAAATGAGCACCACTGCATAAATATTAACAGCAAACATCGCATGACTCAAGCCATTTAACGAACCGCCCTCGTGACAGGCGGGGCGACACTTACATACCCTCGTTCGGTTGGGTTTGATTGGTGTTGGGCAAGAGGGCCGGCGGCTTGGGCAGCGGCCCGTGAAAGATCTTCCCCGTGTCGCTGATCACAACTTCCGGATTGCCATGCCCATGCGGCTGGGCGTTGCTGAACGTGCCGTTGGCATTGTAGACAACGGCCTCCTTCTGCAGATGCTGACGCCGATAGACATAGAGGAAGCCCAATACGATGACGATCATCAGCATGAGCAGCATAACGATCAGAGTGCTCAAAAGGCTGGAGTCGTGATCGTGAGCACTGCGACTCGGATTACTCTCGCCGGCAGCAAAGCCAGCTAAATTCAACTGAGGTGCTCGATCCTGAGTCCCGGCAACGCCGCCAGCACTTGTGATGACATGTATGACCTCAGGCGTGGGCACTCCAGCGGCAGCGGCTGTGTGCAGATTCTCGAGCAGAGCATTGCTTGACTCGTGCAGGATGATCTTGGGCGTGTGCGCCGACTCCTGCACCGGCTGCTTGATCAATATGACCTCCGGCAGAGCGCTGGGCGTCACCTGGACGTGACTGCTCTCGGACATGCTGCCAATGCTCCTGGCAATATTATTGATATTATGCGTTAGATTCGCCATGGTCGAGTTGATAGTCTCCAGCACAACATGATTGACATTGACAGCCTCCAAGTTTTCGGGGCCCTGACACTCGCCCGTCTGCGGATGACAGCGCTTCTCTGGGCACTCGCAGGCTTTGCGACACATGACGCCATGGGTGCCCACAGGACACGGTTGCTCGCAGCTGGAATAATGTGAAATGAACTCTACATTACACTTAGCTCAAACAGAAACCTGTGTTTCATTAGAAATTTTGGTGTACTGAAGAAAATTTCACTGTAAATGCTTCTCTCGATATGAACTCACAATTGTCCAGCCCAACCGGCTATGCAATGGCATCCTCCCGTTTTATTATCACACACAGCATCGTTTTGGCATTGGCACGGATTCTTGCAGTCGAGTCCCCAGCGATCATGATCACAGCCTGTGGAGAGACAGCGTGAATGGATGGCATTTCGAATAGATCGCTTCACTTCTTCAGCTCTTTACTCACGCTGTGTGCAGTGCTTGCCGGTGTAGCCCTCCTCGCAGCTGCATATGTCGGGCATTAGGCAATTGCCACGCCCACAGCCACCGCGACAAATGGGACGGCAGCTGGCTTGACTATCCGAGAGATTGCCCTCATAGCCTTGGCAGCAAAAGCGAACTGTGCGCGTTTTATTTAATCTCTGAAAGAGGAGCAGAGCAAGCAAGAGCAACTAGTGGTGAGTAAGCTTACCAAGCAAAAGTTGATTTTCTTAAAGTATTTAAGCATTTTTGTATTATTATCTGAACTGTATGAGAATGAAGTGAAGCAAATTTTGTTTTTATTTGCTGTGCGTATAATAAACATAGCGTATAATAAACATAAAACATAGGCATATTTCGATGCTCGCAGATACTAATGAAGATGAAGACGATACATCAGAACCTTTGGCAGAGGTAGTAATAGCGTCATTAGATAATTTACATAGCTTTTGTTTACAAACCGCAACTGATGAATCTACATCAGGCACTTTTTCTCCTTAAAAAATCATTAAAGAATCTGAGCATCAGCAATGTTCTTCGAAGCAAACCCATATAATTCAGTTCTTTTCAAAGATTAATTAATTTAAATATACATTACGAATATGTTAAATATCAGCAGTTGAATAAAATCCCTTGATAATTCGAACATTTTGTTATTTACTCTCAAAAGGCATTTCATATTTCCAGCATTCGTAATATTTTAAGAGTCCCCCGAGTTTCGCAATATCGACAGTCTACTGTATATGTATATATACATGCATGTATAAAGTATATACATATGTACATGGGTGGTCTGAAAAGTTTGCAACATAACAAAAATATATAAACGTACATTATTTTGACCAATATAACTGTTTTGTTATTATATCATTTTCTTATCCTTACTTGACATTGCGAATTATGTATATCACGTAAAATACTTAAAATATGTCACATTAGCTATAAAAGAGATATGAGATAAGTGTATTTCAGCAATCTTTTAAATGGACCAAAATATATATATATATTTAAGCAGATAAGATCGTGTAGACAATCTTGACCGACTTCA